TTTTAAGATTTATTTATTTATTTTGGTGGGAGTAGGGGCAGAGGAGAGGGAGAGAGAAACCCAAGCAGGCTCTGTGTGGAGCCTCATGCAGAGCTTGTTCCCATGACCCTGAGATCACGACCTGAGCTGAAACCAAGAGTCGGTTGCCCAACCAAATGCCACCCAGATGCCCCTAAAGAAATTAAAAAAAAAAAAAAAAGAAATATGTTATTTAGTTTCCAGATAGTTGGAAAGTCTTCCAAATGTTTTTCTTGTATTGATTTTTAATTTAATTCCATCATAGACCAAGAACCCACTTTGTATGACTTGAATCCTCTTAAATTTATTGAGAATTATGTTATGGTGCTGAACATTATGTGTGCACTTGAAAAGAATGGGTATTCTGCTGTTAGGTGTAGTGTTCTCTAAATGTCAGTTAGAGGTCCTATTGGCTTATAGCTTTACCATAGTTTTATATATCCTTGCTGATGATTTCTGTCTCCTTTTTCTATCAGTTATTTGGGGGGGCATTGAAATCTCCAACAGTCATTGTGGATTTGTCTGTTTCTCCTATGCTCTGTTATTAGGGGCACAAATGTTTAGAATTATTATGTTCTCTTGCTTAATTGACCTCTTAATCATTATGAAGTAACCCTCTCTATACCTGGTAATATTCCTTGCTCTAAAGTCTAGTCTGATATTAAAATACTCACTGCTGCTTTCTTTTGACTAACTGGTGTTAGCATGGTATAGCTTTTCCCACCCTTTTATTTTTAAGCTATCTTTTAATACTTATATTTAAAGGGTGTTACTTGTAGGGAGCGTATATAGTTGGTTTTTGCTTTTTTATTCAGTCTGACAATTTCTGCCTCTTAATTGAAATGTTTAGACCATTTACATTTAATTCTTGATAGAGTCATGCTTAAGTTTATCATCTTATTGCTCATTTTCTACTTAATACCTCTTCTTTGTTTACCTTTTCTTCTTTTCTACCTTCTTTTGGAACCTGTAAATTTTGTCCCGTTGTATTCTTTTGTTGGCTCATTAGCTTTATTTAAGGTTTTATTTATTTTTATTTTATTTATTTTAGCAGGGGGGAGAGGGAGAGAGAATCTCAAGCAGACTCCCCACTGAGGGTGGAGTCTGATGCAGGGTGTGATCTCACAACCCTGAGATCATGACCTGAGCTGAAATCAAGAGTCAGACACTTAACCGACTGAGCCACCCAGGCGCCCCTTAAGATATTGTTTTTATGTAATCTCTACACCCAACATGGGGCTCGAACTCACAACCCCGAGATCAAGAGTCACACACTCTACCGACTGAGCCAGCCAGGAGTCCCTGGCTTTATTAGCTTTAACTCTTTGTTCTGTTGTTTAAATGGTTGGCAAACTGTGGTCTCCAGGCAAAATCTAGCCAGCCATCTGCTTTTGTATGGC